GGCCTGCCTAGTGGCCTGCCCGTGGCCTGCCAGCCTCAGCAACATCAGTCAGTGGCGGTGTACAGTGTACAGTGTACCCGTGTGTGGCGGCGCGTGGCGCGTGGCACGTGCGGATGGCGCCAGCAGCGCTAGCCTAACCGTCAGCGCCAGAAAGCGCGCCCGAGATGGACGCCCGGCAGGTAGGCAGGCCTGCGCACGCGCGCGCTCGACGGCACCGCTCCGCGCGTGCTCGTGCACTGGGCGGCGGCGGCGGGTTCTTCTGCAGACTGATTCCGAGAGTCGTTTTCGTCGCTCTGTCTCTCTCGCACTCATGGGACACCCTGGAGGAGCGAGAGAGATAGGGCGACGATAGCGAGTCTCGGAATCAGTCTGCTGGTTGGCATGCCTTTCTGCGCCGAAACTTGGTACCGGCGGCGCCGTGACGTCGCCGGCCGACTAGACGGCGACGCCGTGGCGCGGCGCGCGGCGGCAATGACTCATCAGCGCTTCGACACACGATGACGAGGCGCGCGATGCCCCACTGATCCAACGAGGCCGACAGGGCCGACAGTGGAGGCACGGGGCGGCTATTTCGGGGCGGCCAACTTGATGCACTGCACGACCTGCATCGCGTAGCATCGTGATGGCGGGATGCGGCGCGGGCAGCCCGATAAGCCGCGGGGCAGCAACAAGGTGCACGTGAGCAACCAAGCCATGCAGGCCGATTTCGTCGCTCTGCCTCTCTCGCACCTACACGGGCCGACCCATGAGTGCGAGAGAGACCACCAGTGTGCGGGCCGTGCAGGGCCAGGGCGAGCAATGGGGGCAGTTGGGCGCACACAGATAAAGCGACCCGGACAACGCCGAGCCAGCCAAACCGAGTCGCCCGGAGATACACAAAGGTGCGCGGACACCAATTTGCTTTCTTACCCGCCCAGAACAACAAGGTATATTTTTTTCCGCGCCGCGTCGACGTTTCATCAGCTCCCTCTTCCTCACGGACACATCCTGCCCGCGGGCAAGGAGGAAACGGACCACACCGTGTCAGCTGCACGCCAGAGACACGCCCCGACACGCAGGCCACGCTCACACGCGCGTGGGCGCGCAAGGTCTGCGCGCCGAACGATCGCTCCAGCCAACAATTAAATTCAGGAGGCGATCGGCATCGCACGGCGCGGCGGGGCGGACCAGGCGGGGCCAGGCGGGGCCAGCTGGGCCTCCACTCCACAACGCCCCCGGCAGGCAGGCACGGCGCACCGCGGCGCCGCGGCCATGGACTTGTCGAGGCGGCGCGTCGCTGCACGTGGACGCCGGCCAAGTTATGTCATGCCTGGGCCCCGCGGCCGCGCCGTGCAGCGGCAGATGCAGGGCCGGGCCATTACCCCTCCCCTCCCACCTGGCCCCGCGGCCCCGCACTCCTGTATGCAAGGAGAGGAGGGGCAGGACGAGGAATGCGTCGCTACTCGGCGTGATGCAACACGCACCACGCGCGTAGAGGCGATGAACTTTCGGACGCGTGAATGCCCTCACAAAAAAATATGAGGCCCTGCTATAGTGGCGCCGCGTGGTCGCGTAGCCGTAACACAACGCGCACACGTGTGTGTGCACTGGGCCGCCACCAGCCCCCCCCCCCCCCCCGCCAAAGCCCCGCGGCCCCGCGCACGGCCTTGACCTCGAAAAGAGCTGGGCGGAGGTCCAGTGCAGTGGAGCCGAAAAGACACGTGCATCCTGGAGGGGGAGGGGGCACTCTCACTTTCCGGCTGCTGCTGCAGCATGCTGCGGAGGCCGCCCCGTGTTGTTGTGTCCCTCGCGGCTCTTCTGGAGGGCGGGGCGGGGCGGGGCGGGGTGGGCTGGGAGTTCTCATTAATCAACAGACCGATACACTGCAGCGCACCACTGAAATCCAGAATCAACGCGGCTACCCGCCCACTGCCATGAACGCATGCGCGGCAGGACGCCGTCGAGTGCATCCCCGACGCCCCCCTCTCCCCGGCGAGTACAAGGGGGTACCGGGGAGGTGGTCATTAGGGTCCTGGGGGGCTATCGAGTGGCTCGAGCGGCCCCGTCTCGTGTTATCAAGGGCCCGGCCGGGGGAACCCGAGGGAGCGCAGAGGAGGGGCGCTAACACACCCCCCGTCAGTGCAGTGACGCCCCGCAGGAACACTGCTGCGAAGGCCAGGCTAGAATAATGATGCGCACTTCCAGGTAGTACTGTGCAGTGTGCGTTGTTTGGGGATGTCTGGCGCGCCGTGCCGTGCCACGCCACGCCATCGATCAAAGTCGCGTGCTTCGATTCGCCCGGCAGGGCACGGCACGGCACGGCACGGCAAGGGACGTCGCGCTCTGTATCCCAGGGAAATCTCGGGGAGAAGCAGCGGCGATCGCTGTCTGTCATCAATCTACTCGAAAAACGAAGCGCGTTCCTTCCGCGGCGCTGCCTTGTGGCAGACCGATTCCGAGAGTCGTTTCCGTCACTCTGCCTCTCTCGCACCTCTACGGGACGCCGCACGAGTGCGAAAGAGACAGTGCGACGAAAGCGACTCGTACCCAGTCTACTGGGCAAAACGAGCGGCCGGCCGACGTGATCGAAAGCGGACACGTGGGTCCGGGCTGGCACACGTGTCAAATCCTCACACGCCGCGCAGGCGCGGTGGGGCCTTTTCCTGTTTTTTGTTGCTGTTGTTTACCGAAGTGCCGCCGACTCACGCCCGCCCCGCATCGTCCGCATCGGCACAGTGCCTCAATGAGATAGAGATAAGGACGCCGCACGTGGGACCACTAGCCGCGCTGCACAAAAATTCTGGTGTCGAAAAGCGCTGTTCGGCAACACATTAACGCCGCTGACGCCATTCTAGGGGTTCGGAAATGCGCGCCCCCCCTTTTCCCGAACGGTTTCGGTTTGTTCGAGGCTCGTTTCGGGTTCGGTTTGCGAAGTCCATGGAGTCCATCGGCCCAGCAGGCTGATTTCGGAGGGTCGTTTCGTCACTGTCTCATCAGTCGCGGGGCGTCGCACAGTGGACCAGAAGACCGGTGGAGCGGCCAAAATTCTAGACGCGTTTTGAGCTCCAGAGTCGCTAAATGGGACTCGAACCGAACGTGTGACCCCACCAATGGATTGCTCCCCGAACGAGGAGTCCATTGGTGGGGTCACACGTTCGGTTGGTGTCCCATTTAGCGACTCTGGAGCTCAAAACGCGTCTAGAATTTTGGCCACCTCCACCGTTCTTCTGGCCCACTGTGCGTCGTCGGCGTCCCTTGAAATTGGTGCGGCGATCACTCCCGGACGTCTAAGCCTAACACGTTCGAGAGAGCGGCGGTGCGCGGAGCGTCGAATCGGCTTTGGGATTGACTCAGTAGGTGTGGTGGGTGCAGCGGGTGCACGCGCTGCGCTGTCGCTTGGCTGCACGTGCCGCCGCGCCGCGCGCCGCCCCGTCTCTATCTGCACGCCACTGCCGCGCCGCGCAGCGCCGCCGCGAGGGCGAGATCCTCGCGCACGGCATCAGATAGGGAAAGCGAAAACTAAGCGACACGCGAGGGTGGCGCCGCGCCGCCGACGCCGTCTCGCTGTGTAGTGTCCTCACAGTGTCCTCACGGCGATGACGGAGGAACACGTCGGCCATCAGGTGCGGCGTCTGACTGACTGACGAGTCGCTCTGTCTCTGTCGCACTCACGGGGCTCTCCGTAAGGGTGCGAGAGAGACAGAGCAACGGACCGATCTTCTGACGGCCCCATCTGGCCGTCTGGCCGCGGGCCAACATCAGCTGTTGCCGCGACCCCGCACGGCCGCACGCGTGCGCTAGCGTGCGCGGGTGCAGCGGTGACGCGTGCAGCGCGGAGACAACCATCTGCAGACGTGCAAAGATTGGCCGTGGATGACGTCACCTGGTCCTCTATGCAGCGCGGCCGTCACGCCGACATCGGCGGGCACTCTTATCGCACGTCCACTAATTTCGGACAGCCAGTGTCAGGCGGTCAGTCTGTCAGAGCAGCAGTTTAGTACAAGGGTCGCCGAATACGCGTGGCGCAGACGGTGGCACCGCTCATCCGACCGGCCGTGAGCAGCGCAAGCCAGATTCCGCCGCTCTGCCTCTCTCGCGCCTCCACGGGCCGCCCCTCGAGTGCGTCATAGAGACACAGCGACAAAACGATCCTTCGGGCCTGCGGCCTGCGGGATCGGCCGGGGCAGGAGGGCAGGCGTGGGCGGAGAAGAATTTCTCGCGGACACGGCCCGGCCGGCGCTTCGCGGCTCCGCGGCCAGAGTCCGCTCCGTGGCGCCTCCCCGACTTCCCCTTCCCCAGCTTGATGTAAATCTGCGCGTGGCTCGGCGTGGCTCGGCGTGGCTCGGCGTGGCTTGGCCATCTCGACCGTGGCGTCGCAGCCGCGAGGCGAGCGCGGCTTGCGCGGCGCGAAGTGGCGGGGCGGGTCATCAAACCCGAACGCACACGTGGGGCTGCCGGTCCCCGCGCCGCCCCGCCGCCACGCCCCCTCTCCGCCCCGCCCCGCGCCGCGCCCCGCGGGCGTCATCGGCCACGTGCCGTGCCGGCGCCGTCCTCCGTATCGCCAGGACCACGGCACCACCATGGCGTCAGATCCGGGCCGCCACCGCCAACCGCGAAGCGCGCGAAGCCAGGTCGCTATTTCTGCGAAACGACCGCGGCGCCATGCCTCCGCAAGTTGAATGAACCCGCTAGACGGCGCCGTCTTTTGATTCGGTTCTCGCCGAACGCAGGTGCGAAACCGGGGCGAGAATGTGGCGAGCACTTCTGGCGGGGAAGAGAGGCGGCGACACGTCGCCGCACGCGGCCGCCGCCTTCGCCCTCCACGCGCGGATCCGCAATGACAGATAGGCATGCAAGCCGCGGCCACCCCGGCAGGCAGGCAGCCAGCCACGCCACCAGCACGCCACGAAGAGTCCGTGTCGGTGTCCACGGCATGCAACACCTCCAGCACGATACCCGCCCCGCCCGCACGCCGAGCACTGGGGTCGGGACTTCCCTCCGGGAAGCGCAAGGACACTCACCTGGCCGGGTGCACGGGGCGCACGGGGTCGGGCGACGAACGCGGGAAGCTGGCGTGGCGCAGCCCTCGCGCTGGGCGAGCCTGAGGGCGAGCCAGTCGGTGGCAGGCAGCTTTGACAGCCGGCTTGACGCCCACTTGACAGCCGGCTTGGCGGCGACGGCGACACTTCCCGGACACTGACACTGGCCACTGGTGGAAGTGCACTTGCAGCAGGCGCCAGCACGCACTGCAGCTGACGGTCCTGACGGTCGACACCAGCCCGCCGGTTCGACCTGTCAGACGCCGCGGACTCGCGGACTCGCGGAACCAAGCACGGCGTTGTGCTGCACGGCACGGCCAGGCCAGCGGGCTGCTCTGCGCGACACCGTCCGCCACGTGCGCCTCTAGCGAACTGAACTGACACTCAGCGACACGGCGCTGCACGGCGAGGCGCGAGGCGCGAGGCACGGCGGGACGCGCGGCGAAAGCCAGAGGGACGGACGCACAGGCCCACCGGCCAGGCGGGCACCGGCCAGGATGGGAGGGGGAAGGACCAACGGGAGGGACGGCGACGGCGCGAGTCCGCGGCCGTGGAGCCAGGCGGTGCGAGCGAGAAGGCAACACTCGCGCTGCAATATTCACGGGCCTGGCAGTGAAAGGGAAGTAGGAGAGGCGCGCAGCCCGCGCAGCGCGCACCACCCCACCGGGCGTCCCTTCGCCGCCCCTCCCCCCCTCCCCCGCCCCACGAGGAGCCAATGGGCGCGTTGCGCCACTCCGCCCCGCCGCCCCCCGCCTCCCCTCGCAACGAGCTCCACGTGCCGCGAGGCTCGGCGCTCGGCTCGGATAGAGAGAGCGCAGCGCTGCAGCGCGCGTGGAGCGTCGCTCCCTCTCTTTCTCTCCCGCCGCGGGGAGTGGGAGGGAGAAGGGAGAGGGGCAGAGAGGGGCGTGTGCGGGTGACGCAGAGGCAGCATCGCCTCGTGGCGGCGAGGCGCGACGCCACTGTAGGCGGCCGTCGCCGCCAGCAAACAGCAGAGCACAGCGAAGCCGCTCCCCATCCCCGCGACGCTCCACGACGCGCGCCTCGCCGTCATTCTCACTTTCCGCGACAGGGAAGTCCCAGTCGGCCCCAGTTCCCAGTGGCGTGGCCGTCGCCGACTGCTACACTGCAAGCCACCCCCATCCCCGGGGACGAGGGGCAGACTGGTGGCCAACGAGGCCACAGCCGTGTCGGGATAGAGGGAAGTCCAGAAGCGTGTCTACCCTTATCACCAACTTAAAGTGAATTTGGGAAAAGGGGCCAATTCCGTCCAGACGCGCGGAAGATGCACATGAGTCACTCAAGCGCGGGGTATCGCCGTCGTTCGTTCACTTCATCGGCCACTGATCCAACCGATAGCACTATCAGCGGCGATGGAAACGAAACGACGCCGTCCCGTCAATATCCCCCGCCAACGGTGCTGCGGCAGAGTCTCTCGTTGCAGGAGTATCGACGGTGCTTGTGGCCACTCTTAGAACGACAACATTTCGCCAAACAAAATTCAGTCAGCAATGTTTCGATAATGCATAGAGTGGCAATATAATTTATTCTATTCTATTCAATAATTTATATGTCAGAAAGATCTTGATTTGAGTTTTGATATCAGGAAAAACGTGGGGAGGATAAGTGGGTTCTGTGGTTGGTGAGGTTGGCACCAGTGTGTTCATTGGAAGCAGAAGAAAACAAGTTTCTGATGCGTACTTTTGCTGCTTCTTTTTAAAATTTCTCTGAAGATCGCAAGAGATTTACGAAGATGAGACTCACTCTTGCTCTATTGTTTGAGAAGTTACCGAACGGAAATATATTTAGAGGGTAAATATTGCCTTCCTTCTTACTTGGTTCAAAGTCATGTTGAATCATAACCTATAACCAGTCATATTCTGGTTTGCCTTTTTTGTAGTTTATTTTGTTCTCTCTTTACCTTGTTCATATTTTTTTTGCACCCCATTTAAATTTATTCAAAGCGTCTGTGTTAATTTTATGTGTTTGTCTATTCCAGCAAACATAAGCTCAATCCCAAGATTCGAAACTGGATGAAGCGTGAAACTCTCGCAGACATTCAAAGGGAAGAAGCAAACATGCAAATCCTGAGGCATCACTATTTAACCAAGGTTCGTTACACTTTACATTGTAATTACTTGTTTAGGTTTTGTTTTGTAAGTATTAACCTATTTATAACAATTTTCAGCAAGAAGTAAAAGGATATCGATATGATATGGGTTTAGAAAGAGAATTTGTTAGAAGCAAAATAGAATTGAGGAGAAAGAATTTTCCGGCCAACATTTACCTTGAAGATCGCATGGGTCGGTTACGGATCAAGGATAGCTGGGAAAAATATTTTGATTGATGTAGTGATTAGGTCCTTATTATGATAGAACATTCTGGTTCCTCTTTTGCTGTGAATGATCAACAGAATTTTTTGTTTATATTGTGCTGTTTGTAAATTAAATCTTGACGTATATCTAGTTTTGTGTTCTCTCCCTTACGATGCAAATCTTACCAGTTCTGAAGTATAGGTATTGGGAGGGAGACTATTCTCAGAAATAACCAACATCAAAGTCATGTACATATGAGCATTCATTTATTTCATGGATTCAAACATGCATAAAGCTTACGAACACCTTTTAGTATACACATATAAAGCTTTTGATTATTACTTACATTGTTTTGTCATGGAACACATGTGGGTATGGTGATGCATTTGCATACTTTACAAACATGACCGGTCAACAAAAAAACAAATCAACATAAACACATCAATACATCTATTTTATTTATTTATTCAACACAGACTTATTCTCACATGATCAGATGCGTATTGCTTAATATTTACAAGGATTTGAAGTCAACAAGCCAAAAAAGAGATGGGTCCTAAATTTTATCTTATTTTCAATAAAAGGTGCAGAGAATCGCCCCAGACATTTTAGCGTTCAGAAGGCAGGCAAACTCCTGAAATCCGAACTCACACACCGAAAATAATCATGACGAAACTACTGATGCGCTTTGCTAGTGATCATATTCACAAAAATGAATTTGCAACAGTGGTGAAACTTTAGTACAAAGACATTATACCAATAGCAAATTAGATTGGCACTTTTATCAAAATGTAGTGTTTTTCTATAACGATAGACTTGATAATTCGTTCACTGCCAAAGCCACTTTGCTAAGTTTGATACCTATACATATGAAGACAAAGAAGATATGCTTAAAGGAAGATATGCTAGGGTTAACATAGTAAGTATCAAAAGCAATATCACTCAATGCTCAAAATATCAATTTCTTAAGCTTATGTTTTTCTTTTGAAGGGCACTAAGAAAGATTTGTTTGCCTTTGAAAACATTCTGAAAGAAGCCTGATAAAAAGCCATATTTTTTTCAAATATAACTTCACTAATGTGTTTGGAAGAAATTTTCTTTGTGGTATACAGATCACATATCAAGTTGCTAACAACTCAAGCCATCATAGTGGATGGTGGTGTTGGCAGTGAAATTCTCATAGTAATTGATTGTTCCCAAATTGTTCAAGGAAAATTATAGTATGATCCCAAGGTTCACAAGCAGTCATTGTCATGAAAAGTCCTAGAGTCCAGTGTTATACACAGGCTAAAAAGAACTACAACTTATCTTCAGGTAATATTACAAAAACTGCTACAAAACTTTGGAAACACAGGACACAATTCCATAAAAATGTTAATATTGGACCACTGTTGCAAAGCTGCAGTTCACTTCAAAATTTTGATTAAGGAAACATATGCTACTGTCATTTCTTTCCACTATAAATTATTTGTCTCTCATTTTGTGCCTCATTTCTAATATGCTAAGCCTCAAGAAATGTTTACAAATTCACATAGACTCATACACCCTATTAAAGATTTCAAAGCAACTAGATACATAAATTATTTACACGACAATCCTCAATAAATAAGTAAGTAAAAATTCTAAGTGACTGTTTAACTGAACATAGTAATAATAATAATACATGGACTCCCTTAGAAGCACTTATATATTTACTGTCAGTTTCAAAAGAATCAACTTATTATTAAACTCTGAAGGTACAGAAGCTATTCTTTTGAAATTGACAGTAAGTTACATCAAATTTTATTTGTAATAACAGGTATAATATAACGTCAAAATTACAGCGTATTAGAGAACTGCTTTGCTTTGCACTATATGCGATTCGTCCATACAAAAACTGGATAAATGAATGGTAGCCATCACTTCACATAATCTCAGTAGGGTAGTTCCCTTAAAATGTACATACTACCTTTGGCACAAGATTTTCAGATCAAGCAAGCCAAGTGCTGTCTGATTCAAAGATAAAGTTTTGATTCCTTGCGACCTGCTGGGAATACCATTGCACTTTCACACCTTTCACCTGTCGTTCAGGTTTACGGTTTCGCTTTCTAGCTATTTGAACTGGTATTTCACAAACATTTGGCACAGTATTTCAAATGAAACAAAATGCCAACATGCTTATGTAAACTATCAGAAATAAAGAAAAAATCTCTTTCATTCAAGAATAATCCTAAAAATTAAGCAATCTGCACAGACTTTTGATGCTCCTAAAGCACATCATTAGCTTAAACCTCTACATGACTTCAAAAGAGCAGGTACCAATAACCAAGAGGAAAGACTAAATAATCCTCTCATCATATCTCTCAGACTATAAGCATAGAGAACTAGAGCATAATGATTAGAAAGTTCTTTTGGAAGTTTCTTTCAGAAATCTCCTTACAGCAGCTGGAGAGTGGTGATTTAAAGACAAATTTACATGTACACAGGTTTCATTTTGTATGCCTTTTTCCAAATTTCACACAAGCAAACCGTAGAGTGGAACCGATAGAAGATTGCTAGGGGCATGGAAACATGGGTAATAATTGTCCATGCCCAAAGACCATAGAAATGAAGTTGGATTGGATGTGATTCTGCACGTGATTTTTCAAGTGTGTTAATTGCCCACATGGCCAAATTCGTAACAAGAAGGAATGTAACAATTTCTCTTCCTGGTTTCCGTCGAATCTGAAACAAAAGGAAAAGAATTTCAATTTTTTCCTCTTAGAAGACAAAAATAAGCTGGGAAAAGACCAATTTTGTTACCTGTTCAGGTGTAACACATGAACGACGAGACGCATCTAGCACAAACATGGTTTGACATGTTGTCTGCACCAATGACGCCAAGGCTGTTATGAGAACAAGTTCCGTATTCTTCTCCATAGTAAAGTGGCCACCGATGACAGTGAATGTGCTGTACAAGAACATTCCAGTCTGAGCACCAATCAGCAGTATGCTGTCCAGTTCCAAGTTACGAGAGCCATCATACCGTAACTGGCGCACCTGAGGAGAAAACAATCATTTTAAGAAAAGGCTAAAAGACAAATGTAGCTTTCTGCGACTTTCGACACCCACCTTAAGCATGCCAAACAGTGTGGCAATGGTGGACATGGCGTAGAGGGACAGCTCGCAGATGTTGACCTCAATCACTGCAAGGTAGACGAACTCGGCTCGCGACGTGAGCACGAAGAAGAGGATGAGGGACAGGATGGTGAGCACGAGGATGAGGATGCCGACGAACAGTCCCTTGTGCGCGCGCGCGCAGTCCACTGAGTAGTGGTGGGGCGAGCGCTTGTAGTAGGGCCCCGGCAGGCCAGCGCCCGCTCGCTCCAGCTTGGCCGTCAGGGATTGCCCGGAGGACGTGGAGGGCGTCATCTTGGCGATGTTCTTCCACATGACGTACAGGATGGCGGCGCAGATGAGCGAGTACTCGATGGTGCAGGGGAACAGGAACGGGCTAGCGTCCTGCACCAGCGACCCGATGATGTTGGTGCGCCTGCAGTCGTAGAGGTGGTGAGGGCCCTTGAGGCCGCGGGCCACCCGCTGGTGGGACTGGACCAGCGCGGCCGCGGCGTGGTGAGCCAGCCCCGCGGCGGCGTGGTGGTGCGAATGGTGGGTCGGCGCCGGCGACGACAAGTTGAACTTGGGGAAGTTGTTGAGCCCTGCGCATCACAAGGAATGAGTTGCCAGTTGTCAGAAAGGCAAAGGTGCGCAAAGGCCTACACTGTAACCGCGATTCGCGGCAACACTCACAATCGACGCCCTGCTGGGGGACGCGGTGCGCGGGCAGCACCAGTGTCTTGTTCTCCGGGTTGTAGAAGGTGAGAATCTCGTGCTTGGTCTCCTGGATGAGCACGTTGAGCCACACGGACAGGTTGGTGCCGATCATGTGCATGAGGCCGAAGCGCGCCAGCGTGCGGTGTTTGTACACTTTCATTTCCTGCAGCAGACGAAATCGGTTCCAAAAACAAACCTCCATCCGTAGCACAAGACCAAGAGATTGAACGCAGACGACCTACCTCATTGTTCAAGAAGATGAAGTACATCTGGATGAAGATGAAGGCCATGCGCGTGGCGGGCGTCAGAGCCAGCAGCACGTTGTGGCACTTGGTGTTCCTCTCCAGCTCGAAGTACTGGCCGAACTCCAGCCCGGAGTAGATCATGCTGCCGATGCCGAATGCTGCAAAGGCGAAGCAGAGCAAGTGTCAGTCGCAGTGTCACAGCGCGACGAGCAAGAAAGGAAGAAGGGAGTCGTGTTCGTCGCGCTGTCTCTCTCGCACGCATGGGGCGTCGCGTATGGCTGCGAGAGAGACAGCGCGACGACAACGACTCTCGGAATCAGTCTGCTGGAGAGTGGCGACGTACCCACGGCGCCCATGCGCAGGTAGAAGCTGCCGTAGTGCTGCTGGTGGTAGAACTGGCCGGACTGGCGGCGGTAGGCCGCGGCGCGGTACCGCTCCTGCTCGGTGGCGGTGCTCACCTCCGTGTCCGTGTGCGGGCTGGGGCTGGGGGGTGCCGAGTCGCTGCTGTCCGAGTGGGACGAGTTGGAGATGGACTTGGGCCGCTTGCTTTTCTCTGCAGAGAGAAAGGCGGACAAAAAGAGAATGAATGAAAAATGCTCGGTGGCGCGTTGGAACTCTTTTCAGTTTCGGAGACGCAAACAACACGGCCTGCCAGGCTTTGCCAGCGCGTCTGAAAAGTTTGCGAGCAACTTGATTTAAAAAGGACGCTTTGTCTGGAAGGGAAAATAGAGGCCCTCGCCGCGGCGGACGGCAGATGCGGCACAAAAAGGCAGCCGGGCAAAAAGAGAAAAACAAGAGCGCGACCCGTCATACTGCTGCTACCTCCAGGCATCCAGCTTCAGCCATCCAGCTTCAGCCATCCGGCTGCAGGCAGGACAAGCAGGAGCGAAAAGGGAAACGAAAGCACGCCGAGAGCAGCGCGGGTAAAGGGTCGGTCCGCTTTCAGGTACAGCGAGCGCGCTTCTCGTTTTGTTGTTGTTGTTTTCGGTATCCGGATCCAATAACAGGACGGCGCAGCCCGGAGAGCAGACGGCACTGCGCGGAATCGCCCTCATTCTCATTTCGAGCGCGGCGCGGGGAGACTGACTCACTGGACTTGCTGAAGGAGTTGCTGACGGAGGCGGCCGCCTTGTCCTTGAGCAGCATGGCGTACATGTACAGCAGGAACAGCATGCTGCCGAAGTAGAGGTACAGGTAGAAGCCCTCGTAGAAGGAGGGCGGGATGTACGTGGAGATGACCTCGGCCATGGGGAAGGCGATGCCCATGACGACGATGAGCTTGCCGTACAGCGCGGACAGCGTGGTGGCCAGCGCGTCCCTGCAACAAAAGCACACACACTCAGAGTGCAGTCGCTTCGACCGCCAGCCACATGCGAGAGGTGCGAGCCACGTGCCTACATGTCCTAGTGCAACTGGGATGCATAATCAAGCTGAAGAAGAAGGAAAAGAAAGGCAGAGACAGAAGAGAAACCAGAGCGGCTCGGCGCGCCGGGCGCCGGTAGCGCCTGCGAGGTAGGCAGTCGGGGTGCTGGAAGGCACGGGTGCGCTGCATCGGCCCGCTTGCCTACCTCGCAGGCGCCATGCTCGGCCGAGCCGCTGCGCCGCGCCGGCGCGACCAGCCCTCGTCGCTCTGTCTGTCTGTCTCGCACCCCGACGAGACGTCCTATGAGTGCGACAGAGACAGGGCGACGACGAAACGACACTTCGGAATCAGTCTGCAGACGTGCTTCCGCAACAAAGGAGCTCCTCTCGCAGGAAGATGCCAAAGCCATGCATGTCCAGGCCGGGCTCCAGGCGATGCTCCAGGCCCAGGCCTTTTGTCCAAGGAGTGGCGGGGAGTGGCGGTCAGCGTGGACGGGCAGATAAGCCAGCGGGGCGGAATGGGCGCGGACAGGCAGGGCGCGGGGATCATGGAGGGGACTGGAGAGGGCGGCGGCTGGAGGATCTGGGCCACGGCGACGGGCGTGTCGTGTTGGGGTGGGAATCGGGCAGGGAGTGGCGGCGAGGTGGATGGGGCCTGGAATGGGAGCGGGCCGTGCGATGGGGCTGCGATATGGCGATCAGGGCGACCAGGCCAGCCAGCCAGGCGGCAGTGCACTGTCACACTGTCACTGCACTCGGCCGGGCCTACGTACGTGCCCAACTGCTTCCAGTCCAGCTGCAGCTGCTCGATGCGCGACGGCCGCTTGAGCGCCGAGATGGGCAGCTGTCCCTGCAGATGGCCGTGCACGGGGAGGTGGCCCGGCGGGTGGTAGGTGGCCATGACGTACCTGTCGGGGCCCGTAAGGGGCGGCACACGGCACACGGCATGCGGAAGGAAAGGTAAAAAGTAAGAGGCCGGTTCTACACACTGACAGAGAAGAAGGGAAGAAACAACAACTACGGGTCGAGTCTACTTCTACTCCCCGGTCGGCAGGGCCCCTCCCGTCCCCTGGACGCACCACCAAGACCCAAGGGGCGTGTGTGCTGCTTCCCAGTCGGTCCGCTTGATCCCTCATCTCGGGTCACGCCAAACGCCAAGGGGGCACGGCGGCCGAGACAGGCAATCTCCTGCCTGAGACGAGGCTGAGCTCCGGGGACCAGCCGAGTCGTGCCGTGGCTCTGTCTCTGTCGCACTCAAGGGGCTCTTCGTAAGGGTGCGAGAGAGACAGAGCGACAAACCGACTTTGCGCTGGTGGCAGCGCCGCGTAATGACTCCCCCTCCATCCCCCACTTCTTCCATCTCTCCGCGATCCGAAGGCTCTTAGAATTTAATCGAACGGGCGAGGCGAGGATCCACGGCCGCTGCCGCCGCGACAGGCGAGGGGGCTCTGCCGAAGGGGACCACTTATCCTACTCTTGGCTGTGCTGGTCGTACTCACCCTGGGCCCGGGCCGGAGGAGGCGGCGTACCGCACCGAGCTCACCATGGAGCGGCTGGGCGGCAGGTAGGCGGGGGCGTGCGCCGCCCCCTGGGGGGCCCCATGGGGGGCGGTGCTGGCCGACGACGCCCCCGCCTGGTGGTGGTCGACGGCGGCCGAGGGGGCGTGGCCGGGGGCGGCGCGCGTCGAGCCGGGCGACGACTGCCTCGACGAGTGCCTCGACAGGGACAGCGTCTCGGGGCTCACGATGACGGCGGACGGGCTGGCCGGCGAGGGCAGCAGCGTCCCCTCCGCCTTGATGCCCGGCGTCGCCACGCCCCAGCTGCAAAGGAAGCACGTCAGAGGTTAGCGCCAGCGAACAAGTGAAACAAGACAATGGCGCACTGGTGGCGAGTGGAGAGGTCGGGGTTTTGGGTGGGACGAAAATTGCAAGTGTGTCATGTGTTAAGCCGTTTATTAGACTTGGTTGGGCTTAGGAGCGCCGCTCATTGCAAGCGCATGAAGAGTTGCGTGAAGGAGTACCAGCTGCTGAGCAGGCGGTGCAGCGTGGCCAGGGACATGGGCCCCAGCCAGCGCGCCTTGATGATGACAGGCATGGAGGCGCCCAGCATCACCCCCAGCACGTCCCTGTTGAAGGCCAGCGCTGCCTCGCGGTCGCGGCATCGGAACAGCATGCTCTCCCACTCGCACGCGTAGGCGGACGGCAGCATCTGCTCGCCCGACTGCTGCACCAGGTCGCCCTCCAGCCCCAGGACCGCGGTGTAGGCGAAGGCCACCGGCAGCAGCCCGACGACGTACAGGTCGCGGTGGCCCATGACCACCGAGGTGGTGGCCAGCAGGGCGAAGCCCAGTGCGCCGGCGTGGATGTGGAACAGCGGACCCTCGAACACGTCGCTGAAGCGCTGCAGGACCTGCGCCAGTGACCGCCACCAGTCAGAACACCCAGCCGCGCGGACACACGGCCATCGCCATGACACTCGGAAGCACCTGCATGAGGGCGCGATGGTCGTCCAGGACGGCGTGCAGCTGAGCGCGGTTCTCGGCGTTCTGGACGGACTGGGTCAGGCAGCGCAGCAGCCCCGCGATCACCAAGGCCAAGGTCACGTGCACCACCTGGGGGTGATGATCGCTGGTTATCGTTTTGGAGGGGGGTTTTGGCGGCGCGCCATCGCCCTGCCCCGCTTGCCTGCAGCGCCGCGATGCACACGGAGGAGCAGACGATGACCACAGACTGCAGGGCGTACTGCCCGGCGAACAGCGCCCAGTGCCACCACCGGCCCGTGCCGTCGGGGACGTTGCCGTCGAAGAGGAGGCCGAGGCCGGGCAGGCAGGCGCAGCCGAAAGTGAGGTGGCCGGACGCGAGAGGCCACGTCACCATCAGCAAGAGGGCCATGGGCAGCTCCAGCGCCACGGCCCAGCGGCACACCGCCAGCAGCCAGGCCGTTCTCCGGGCGTGCTCCGCCTCCTGCGGGGCACGACGCGGTGCTCGGTGACTCCCGGATCCCGGCGGGCACTACAGCAATCGACTACCGACTCGTCGGCTACCTCGCCCCGGATCAGGGGTTCCAGACGGGCCGTCAAGGCGGCCAGTTCGTCGAGCAGCTCCCGAATCCCGTGCGCGTCGCGCGCCCAGAAGCGCTGGTAGCTCGCGCCGCACAGCACCATGGCGGCGTTCATGGCGGAGAGCGTGGCGCGGTTGGTGCCGAGGTGCACGCCGACGTCCAGCAGCAGCTGCGCGCCGACCAGCGCGCTGAGCAGCGCGGACACGTCGCCGCCGTGCACGCGGATCCACGCGCGCTGCGCCCAGCCCGCCACGCCGCCGAGCACCACGCCCTCGTCTGGAACAAGGTGGCGGTTGGCCAGGACGCCGAGGCCGAGGACGCCGAGACCGCCGACGTCATGACGAACCGTACCCACGGACTTGGAGGCGAGCAGCAGCGCGCGCTGCAGCGGGCCCACGTCGCCGTCCTGGCCGCTCTTACGGGACGCGCAGCACTCTGGTGTGGCCATGGTGGAGTAAGGAGTAAACGGTGAGACTGCCCCATCTACCTGCCCCGCCGATGAGCCAAGGGCTCTGCCGAGGGCCGCTGACGACTTTTAGAACAACGTTGCCAAAGTCGTTGAGCTCTCAAGCGGCGTGCATCTTTTAGCGGTCACAGGGACAAGTTTCGGTGGCGTATGCATACATCATAATTTTAGCCACTCGACCTCGCGGCACCTCAGCCGATAAATTAGCCGCCGTCACAGTTGAAGTAAATGACTTGGAGAAACGACTCATCTGTCCAGCGATCGGCGAGTGACCAGATGGCTGGGCCGCCTTGGCCCAAGCCCCATTCCCTCCGAGTTGTCCTGGGCTCAATCGCGGCGCGTCTGCGGCCCGGAAAAGAGCGCGGGGCGGGGCGTTAGAGCCTAGCCTAGTTCTCTAGGGGGAGGGCGTGTAACGTACGTAAGGGAATTGGCCCGTAAACGCCCCGGTCGGCCCGTCGGCCGCAGGGCCAAAGGCGAGGCCAAAGGGCCATTGGGCCGGGCCCGAAGCGCGCTGAACTGAACTGGCAAGGCACCACACTGTTACACCGCGTCGCGCTGGATTCGCAGGCTGGCCCACTCCGGCCCTCTGGCCCTGTGGCCCCACCCCAGTGACAAATGCGGCAATGCGGTGGCCGTGTCACGTTGGCGTGTCCTGAGCCAGCCCACATCGTTCCCCGCCACTGTTTCTAGCGCGTTATCGCCTCCTTTGCCTAATTTCGCTGAGACCGACAACCTTCCCCCCCTCTCTCTCACACTCACACACACCTTTCGCGTCCATGGCGGTCATTTGATCCACCCACCCCAGGTCACCTGCGCCGCCCGCCTTGCACGGCGACCTTCTGGCTGACCTGTTGCTGTGTACTCCAGGACGTCGCCCTGCCAGCGTGTCCCCCTTTCGCGGGTCAGCATACATTAGGCGACAACGGGGTGGGCGACACACGGCGTCATTAGCATCGCGCCCTACTGGCCGTCCTCGCCGCCCTCACCGTTCTCGTCGTCCTCGCCGCCCTCGCCGCCCTCGCCGTCCCCGCCGTCCTCGCCGCCCTCACCGTTCTCGTCGTCCTCGCCGCCCTCGCCGCCCTCGCCGTCCTCGCCGCCCACGCCGCCCTCGCCGTCCCCGCCGCCCTCGCCTTACTCGTCATCCTCGCCGCCCTCGTCGTTCTCGTCGTCCTCGCCGTGCTCGCCGTCCCCGCCGCGTCCTCGCCGCCGTCGTCATCCTAGTCATCCTTGTCGTTCTCGTCGTCCTCGCCGTCCTCACCGTGCTCGCGGTCCTCGCAGTCCTCGCCGTCCTCGCCGTGCCCACCCCGGCGGGTACCGCTGTCCTTGCCGTCTATGCGAAGGCGCCGCCAATTAAAGAACACACGATGAAGAACAAGCTTGCCTTCTAGAAGGCCGTTCTTGAAGTCGCCTGCTTTGCATTCTCTCGCATTCTCTGTACTCGGCCCTGGGCGTTCGCGAGGGGCTTTTGCTTCACGCCTCCCCTCGAGGCTCCACCCTGGTTCCGCCCCCGCACCGCACCACCCCGCACTCGGCACTCGCATTGTTTCGCACGCCGTTGTACCTTTCTTTGTCTTTTTGCGTACAGCGCTATTGTGCATTCCCCCAGCAGACTGACGAGTCGTTTCGTCGATCTGTCTTTGTCGCACTCACGGGGCCTCCAGTAGGAGTGCGAGAGAGACGATGAGAGGGGTGGAAGGCATCCCGTCGTGGAGCTGCACTCGTGTAAGTGTTTTCAGCGCAGGGCTGTAACGCTGCTGCAAGAGGTATCGGGACGAATCGAGACGGCGAAGGGGGGCGCCCCTGCCTCTTCCCCCGCCGCGCCCACTAGATCGCCCCTCCGGGGGCCCTTCGAACCGAACACGGGGCCCCCTCGTCCCACTTCGCGCTCACGGAAGAGCAGGCTGCTACTTTATTTTTACCCGCTTTGAAGGTTTACTCCAGGCCTCTGGGGGAGCGGGGAGGGGGAGGGGGACGGCAGCTCCCTTCGGGCGGACGGGCTTGTCGAACCGCGCCAGAACACACCGAGCTATATAACGGGCGCAAATAGGCAGGCGGCCTACATGGCCACGTCGCGTCGCCGAGTACGCTAGGCCAGGCCAGGCTACGCGTGGCGCGTGCTGCAACGACCCGGAATGGACAGAATAGTGTGCGTCAAAGCGAAGACATAACTTTGAAGGCAAAGTTTAAGAGCTGAAATTAATTAAAATTGCAATTTTAAGGGACAAATAATAGTGTCCTTTGACATCAATGCGTAAGGAGAGGTGACTTTGGAGGAATCTTGGCGAGTCACACATCAGGGGGCAACAGGTTTTACACTGCAGGGAGCGTGGTGCGGCGTGTGTGAGCGTGCAGGGTGTGCAGGGTAGCTCCGTGCAGACGCTGCAATGCCGCAGGTTTGCCTATCTTCGCCTGAATGGCCTCTCGCCCGAGGCTCCGACAGGCACCCAGTGACACTGTGACGTCCTCGACAACTAGGCAGTGGTGGAGGTGCTAGGAGGGAGTATAATGTCACCACACAAGTAGGCAAAAATACCCAGGATGCACCAGTGTTGAAAGGGTTGCCTACTGGGCGATATCAAGGCTTCGACTTGGACAGTTTGCCTCTAGGACCTCCACTGCCCAAGTCGGCAACCCTCTCGATCGTCGTAATTTCTGGCTACTAGTGTGGCGACACTGGGAGAGCACGCCGCTTTACCTGTGCCTCTTCCAGAAAATGACCAGGCGCTGCCGCAGCTCGTAGCTCAGGCTGCCCATGGCGCCGTTCACGGTCACGTCGTCCGAACGGGTCGGGTGGGTACCTCCGCGACGAGGCACGCGACACGGCGCCGCCGTCTCGGGGAAGCGTCACCGTGGGTCTGCGTCTGCCCCTCCGGGCCTGTGCGGGCCTCGGCGCAAGGGACGTGCACGCCGGAGGTTGGGTGGGGGTTGTCCGCCCTGCCGCCCTCTCTACCGCCCTCTCGGCCTCCCCGGCCCTCGTCGCGCACCTGACGGACTGACGGACGGGCACATGCGCCGCGCCCGCC